CTTTGAATAAATTGAAATACTAAACAATAGTTCGGCATGATTAGCTATCAATCACTTATAGATGGGAACGGTTCAAACTTAGAAATGAACAAAACTAAGTCTACATTATTGAAAAAAGAACAATCAATAGTATTTGAAATGGAAGAGTTACTATTCCTACGCAGCTTTGAATGTACTAGATATATGAAATCTTTCTTTAAAATGGACTTTGTGTTAAAGATGGTAGTGAACTACATCGTCACACAAGGATCAATTAGTAGGAAAAAGAATTCACCAATTAGTTATTAATCGATTGATGTGAAGTACGCTTTCAACATATGGCTTTCGTGCACATGTTAGATGTTTAGGAAAAATCTCTATTTTTCGATGAAATTCCATAACGAAACTCGAGTTTGATGTATTTTGTTCGCTTGTGTTTCTAAGTTTCGCAGCAAAAACGATGTCTCCAAATAGAATTCAACAAGTTCCATTGAATACATTCGTTTTGATCACAGTTTGATTTAATATTTGCATTCATGTTATAGCAATATTGCGTTACAAAATTGCATTAGTATCGGAACTTTGCATCAAGCCTTTTGTACTGTTTTTATTCATGAGTATACATATATTTGGAATTACTATGAAATTCACAACAAAGGGAAGTATTGAATTGATTAAGACTTCAATTTTTATATTCCTCAGGTTGAAAAGTTTTTTTTTGTTGATTCTAGTGAAAAATACATCATTTGATGCATAATCCAATGCTGGCGACAAATGTCTGGTTGCTGTTCACTTTGATTCTGTACCGAAGTAAGATTTTCGAGAAAAGAATGAAACTATATGATGAATATTCTTTCTAGTATGTTATTCGATGCAATTACACTTGTTAAAATCTGAAATACCTTTATATAAAAAGTTTATTTGTACATCGCTTTGTTTCATAGTAAAATACTAAACTCTTTGCTCCGCTATAAAAAGATTCTATTGTTTTAAAATCTCGTAACGCCTTGTATTTTGTTAATAGTTCAGTTCAAGCTAATAGAAAATTAATGAAATTTTTATTAATCGTAGATCTAGATGATATTGATCTATAGTAAAAGTTTCAAAGACTTTATTTTTGAGACTGATGAGAAGTAGATGTTATAATGTACAGAAAAAAAAATGACGCTTCACAACATTTAATCAAGCCGAATTATTAAAAAAAAGACTGTCAAAAGATAATGTTAAGAAAATTCTTGTTATTGTTGTCGTTTTGCAGTGAAATGTGTTGTGTTAGTATAAATGATTTGTACAACTGTTGAATGATTTCTTTTTGAAATAAATTTTGTTAATTCTCTAAATTCTTTTCGAAATAATTTTGATGTTAAACAATGAATATAAAAATTTATCTAAATCAAAATTTTTCATATTTAAAAGTTTATCGAATAAAAATAGAGAACAATCTTACGGCATAATTAAAACTCCAAAAACACGTTAAACCTGCTGATATACTCATAACTGATCCATATTCTTCAACTTTCATAGTTAACACTTGTTTTGGAAATACAATACGATAGGTTGCTATTGGAAGAGTTGTTGTTAAAAATATAATAATACTTGAAAGCATTAATAAAAACAATTCTTTTTGAAAACTTCTACTACGATTTCTTGTTTGATTTTGAAATTTTATTTGTTGACTAAGAGCTCGCTTCCGTACACGTATATTAATAAATATATCAAGAAGAATAAGTAACATTAATACAACAGGAATGAGACAATTAATAAATATCTATCAATATTACCAATAAGTTTTAAAAAAAAAATTCAGAAATATGACTTACTTGTACAATGGTCCATATATAATAATAGAAATTTAGATAAATTTTTTGTTTTACATTTGGACCACAGGCTACAATTGCTACACCCGGTAATAACATTCCAAATAATGGGGTTAACATCGGTGAATGAATGATGGCATCAAAAAATACTAAGATTACAACAACAATTAAAGCTTTCTTTGGAGTACAAAGTGTGATTGATTTATATGGAAACCGTGTACGAATCCAACGATCAATTGAAATAATAACAAGTATCCATGCTGAACAAATTTGAGTCATAGAAATAATAAATATTCGATAACGACATAAAATATCGTAGTTTAGACGTCCATTAAGAGGTATCTATTGATCAGGAAAAATAAATATCTATTTGTACTATTATAACAAAATAAGTATCATACCTGTAAACCAAAATCAATGAAATCAAAAATCGATGCAAACAAAAATAGTGTATCTGAGATGGCTAAGACCATGAAAAGTGTACCAGTCGAAACATTTCTTAATGTAGGTTGGATAAAAGTCAAGAGACTAGCAATATTACCAGTAAAACCAAGAATGAATATAATCAAGTAACCCCATAAATAAAAATAGCTAACGATAGGTGGACTGCGAATCATGAGATAGTAGTCTATTGCACGGTTTTGTTCGATCATAGAAGAGATGTTGGTCATATTTGTCATCTTAGTTTTCTTACAAAGTAAATGAAAACTCCGTAGTAGTGTAAAAATATATAATTATTTTTTGTCTATTTTTCTCTGTTGTGAAAAAAAACTATTTTTGATTTTCTTTTTCTCTTTTTTTTATTAATTATTTCTTGAGAGTTTCTTCAAAACTACGTTTTAAAATTAAAAAAAGCATCATCAGTTATCAAATTAATGTCATCTAGAAAATATGAGTGCATTTTCAGCATATTCATCTACGGAGTAATTATATTGAATATATCAAAGAACTATGATAGATATAGAGGAAAGTTCTGTCTTTTTTTTGGTTTTCAGTTTTTATTTTGAGCAGAATTAAATTTGTCGGTTTAGACATCTTTAGTTCGATATAATTCGAATTGTATGTTATCTGCAATATTCTCATATGGTTGCATTGATCTTACTGAACTCTATAAGATTGTACATAATGAAAACTTTTCATACCTTTTTCTTGAAATATAACTGACCAAAAACCTGTTGAAATCAACTGGAGGTATGGTACGTTTCTTTAAACGCAATAATATGTTCAAGCTTTGAAATAAAACAAACTTTTCAACATGCTTCTTTTGTTCGAGATGCTGAAAAAGTGATTTTTCAGACTCTATATCTAAAACTGCACATGGAAGCAATAATTTGACACTGTTCAAATATAATCTAGTAAGAAACGTATTGAATCAAGAGGACGACTCACTTAAAAAAAAACAGCGCAGTGAGAATCTTTCAAAAGTTTCAAGTCTCTCTGAATGCGATATGTTTTCATTTTATGCATTGTGAAGTCAAGAAAAACCATTTCTTTGGACCACCAGCACAAGATTCAAAAAAATGGGATCATATTTTCAGTTTTTCATCGTTGAAATTCAATTTTTATGAAAAATAAATACCATATCCTGAATCAGCATCAAAAGAAACCGAGACATCCGTATATCCCATCGTGACATGCTGTTTATGGAAATTTTACCCGATAACAACCATGAGGTAAAACATATGTGATAAAAAGCTCAGTGAAATAAAGGTATAGTTGTCATGTGGGAAGGATGGTTTTATTTCGGTGTTTCTTTGAATGCTGATGCTAAATATGATGGTTATTTTTCATATAAATCAAATTTCAATGATAAAAAACTGAAAATACGACCTGACCTTTAAACTATTCTATCAATCGTAGGAGAAAAGGGATTTTTCTCAACAAATGTAAAATGTTTTCCAAAAACTGAGACATCAAGTTTTTCTTGACTTCACAATGAGTAATGTGAAACAATATTGAATTCAGAGAAAATTGAAACTTTTGAGGACTTGTCATTAAGTTTGATTTTTTGGGTGGTCCATTGTCTTCATTTAATGCATTTCTTACCAGATTATATTTGAACGATCTCAAATTCAAGTTTCTACATTGATTTCAAGCACAGAAGCTATAAAGATCATTTTTATTCGCTTCTATCACGAAAGACACATATTGAATAAGCTTGTTTTACTCAAAAATTTCAACATATTGAATCGTATAGAAGAATGTACCACTCTTCCTGTTCATTTTGATAATTTTTAGTCAGTTTTATTTCAAAGAAAAGATTTCAATATACATATTCTTGTAGAGGTCTACAAACTCTATTCCATCACGTGAAAACAATGCAGAAGAAAATTCTGCTCAAATTTCGAATTGTTAATGTTTTACATCGGCAAAAATTCAATTTGAAATAATTTTGCTCAATAAAAGTTTACGGCAACCTTTCTTACAAATGAACTTTGATTGATGAGTGTATTTTAAGGACAGTTTTTCTTCGACTTATCAATGCTTTTGACAGTAATTATTCCCATTAATATTTATGCTATATTTACATTAAAATGGATATATCTGTGCATGATTGATAGCAGGTATCCTTTGTCAAAAATCAGCACAACTATGGTAATCAAATCAAAAAATATATAAATAACAGGATTATCTTGACACACTTGCTTCGCTGAAATTACTATCCATTCTGACACATCGTTTGCAAAACATGTAAGTTTAAAAGAATTGTTTATTAAAATCACAGCAGAGCATTTGCGTATGTCATGGTCAAAACTCATTATATAAATCACTGCCATTAGAAGTAGTACTATGCCGAACAAATAATAATATTTTTGAAGAAAATAGCGCTGTGATCTAAAATAGCATGAAAAATAAATTTTATATATTAAAAATAAAGCACGTCGAACAAGAACTTTATTAGAATTATATTTATCGCGACAAAAAAAAACACTAAACGATATGATAGAAGTTTTGTCATAGTTTAGAGATGTGAAAGTTCATACAGAGAATGAATCGAGTAAAAATTATTTATGAAAAAAGCAATCCCAATAATTTAGCTTTCATGTAAATATGAATATGTTGCTATCGTTTCTCATCGATTCTGTTGTATTTTCTTAATATGTCAATCAAAAGCTTATGCGAAATAGCTTCCAATCTAATTCCATTATGTCCGTTCATGGTTTCAGCTGCTATCATAGCATTTATAATAGCTTCTTCAGCACATTAAATCGTTGCTTCAAATAAACGACTCATTTGATTATTGAGCAAAAATTCTATAGCTCCGGTTGCCGAACTTGGATTCGAAACATTAGCCGTCGAAAACGCTAAGAAAATATCACCAGATAGATTAGCACCTATACTGCATACTTTTCCTATTCCAAGTGACACTCTAGTTGCTAAATGTTTCAATTGATGTGGTAAAAGTGGTGCATCCGTAGCTACAATAACAATAATCGATCCAACATCTTCATCTGGAATACTTGCATTGGTTTGTTCGATTTTCAATAATTCTTCGCCAACAGAAACACCAACAATAATTAACTGTTTCTTGCATCCAAAATTAGATTGTACTAAAACTCCAATCGTATAATTTAAACCCTCAATTTTTCGTGAACTTGTTCCTGTTCCAGCTTTAAAACCAAATGAAATCATACCTGTTTCACCCCCTACATTTCCTTCTTGAATTAATGAGTCAGATCCTTTAGCATTGTTCAATGCTTCAAATACATGTTCTTCTTTTACATGAAAGCCATTAATATCATTTAAGTACCCATCATATGTTTCAGCTACAATAGGTAAACTCAAATCCAGCATATGGACCATTGTATTAGAATTATTCTTTTTTAAAGCTCATTTTATCAGAGAATCTTGGCAAATACCAACACTATTTGTATTTGTAATTAAAATTGGTGCTGTAAGAAAACCACGCTCTGTTAAATAATGTACACCAGTCATTGCACCATCTCCATTTAAACTAAACCAATTAGCAAAACAAGGCATTCGACGAAAAACATTTTTAAATCCGCGTGGAAATATTGTTGTTACACCTGTTCAAATAGAATCACATTCAATTATGGTACTAAAACCAACTTCAACACCTTCGACATCAGTAATAGAATTAGATTTGTCAGTAACATCAGTAAATGGAATGCCAAGATCTCGACTACGAGATTTCTTATAACATTTTACATAAGAAATTCTATGCAAAATACAGAATAATAATAGAAAGTGTGCTTTGCGCATATCTTCACTTTTTATATTTTATATTATTCGTTCGCCCTCGATTATGTATGCAGGAATGGTTTAGCATTTGAATTACTCACTTATAAACTTTATTTTGCGACTGATCGATTTATTTTCTTATTGACAACAAAAACGAAACGAATGAGTACGCGGGTGTATAAATCAATTGAAAACAGATCAACATGTGCCTTGAGAAAGGGCAAGTTCAATCTACTAATCTGAAGTTTTGCTTTTTGGCGATCGACTTTTATGGAAATTATTGAAACTGCAATAATATGCTTAATAAAATACTACTGAAACCAATACAGAACTCAATTCATCGACATGTTTACCTTATTTATTTAAATATAAATAGTTATCAAGGTTATGTATTTTAAGCCAAGAACAAGGATAACTGAAAATTGACAAAAAAGGAAGAAGTCGTAGAAATTAAGTCAAATGAATCAGAAAAGGTACAAAATAAAAACTAAAATGTGAGAATTAAATGGAAAAATTGTAAAAAGATAACAATAGTGCCAGTGATAGTTTAATACCGCATAGTCAACTTTAGAAAAATTTCTTTTTTATATACACAGATGGTATAAACAATGCTCTATTTTTCTGTCATGCTTGAGCATATTTCAAGTAATATTATAATAATAAAATTTCGGTACTATCTGTTTTTGTATAAAATGTGACAGTTAGGGTGTGAGTGTGGTGTGGATATGGGTTTCTGTATGAATATAATACACTTTCACTCACTGCCACAGTCCTAGCCACACCTACAGCGACATCCACACCCTCAAGTAAGCAGGATGAGTTATATGTTCATGCTTGTATTCGATTTACTCTTTGTTTTCATTGATGTTTGTGTTTATCGATGACAGTAAAGGATCGAAAAAAAGAGTAATGAAGATGAAATTCAGATCAAATACACTGATCATTATATTTCTTTATTTGAAACTGATTGATCAAACTCATTTTTGTTACTCCCCACCGACCAATATCATAAAATAGTTTGCATTGGTAAAGGAAAAGAAGAAAAGTATTGAGCACAAAATACTCTAGATAATTCGTATGCTTCTGATTGCCTGAGGAAAAAAAATTAAGTTGTCAAAGTGTCATGATCAAAATTAAAATAAAAAGTATCAAGAGGATGGGCAATGTGAAACTTGTCCGTTAAACTAAATTCTTTTTGCATCTTGTCCGAAAGACTGAAGCTGTGAAGTGTGTTTCTTTGAGACAAGAGAGTAGCGAAACGACTTACTGAACATTTTCTCTAGGAAATGTAATGAAACATGATCGAAAGAGTAAATATATTTTGTATGGCTTTTAAAATCTAACTCCACAGGACCCGTTTTATTCGGACAGGAACGCAGAGAAATGTATTTTCTTTAAAAGAAACGCAGTGCAATGCATTCTCATATAGTAGAAACGCGTTTTACAATACATTTTCTCTAATTTTTTTAATGTTATAGGTGTGTATGCACTATACGATTATTTGTTCACTTCTATTGACAACTAACAACATCTCACATCCTTCGACAAACATTCACATATATATAACAAATAGCAAAACTGAAGAAGAAAAAAGTCCTTCAATTGCTTCTACTCTCTGGAAGACTTGTTTTCAACATTTACAGTGAGAATCACAAGCAACAAAATGCGTCGTAGAAATGAATTGGGCGATTTTTTTCTTTTAATGTTACAAATGTATTCGAAAGCACGATTAAATCGAAACGAAAGAAAAGAATCACAATTGTTTCTTCATTTTTTTACACTTTCATGTTTATGAAGCCACTTTCTTTTCTTCATGTGAATAACAGTTTCTTCTGTCTCTCATTTTTCAAACGTTCTCTTGATGTATCATCAGAACTTTGTCCTTCTTGAGTGTATACATACGAGAAAACTAGCGTGGCACTCTTTCTCAATGAGATTAACTATTCATATCAATATCTGTTTCATTGAACAATCGCTGCCAGATTCATCTATGTCGAATCAATTTTCGTAGATAGATAAACATAAACATATCCTCAGATGTTAATTTTATCAACATGTTCTATTCCTCATACTTTTTTTTTACATTTCGGATAGACATTTACTGCACGTTAACTGGTTAAAATTCCTTACAATATCGATAGAAAAAAGAAATGCATGCAAATGTTGGTCTTCTTAGTATAAATCATGACAATAATTATTACGATATTACCCATTCGTTTAAGGTCGATTCATTTACGTATCACGTATTAGGACTTCGCAAGGATCGCCCAACATATGGAAACACTTATTACATTTTTAATTGTCCAGATTGTACACAAGGATCTCTACCTGTTCTCCGTACTTCTGGACATTTTGAGCACCGATTTACAAGTGAACACTATAAAATGCTAAAACGTCATCGTTCAGTAGCAAGACAACGTCATACAGCTAGATCTCTTACAAATCGTCCTCGTACGAGTTCAGCAACAGGAATGAAAGTCGAAAATGAGACGATATCTATCGAACAGTCAATAGCTAAATTGCTACAAACTGAACGTCAAACATTAGTCACGTCTCTACGTAAAGCAATCAAAGCAGAAAATCAAACACTAATTCAATCTATTCAAGGTTCATCGAAGAAAGTCGAAGATGAGAAAAATAATGTCGAACAGCAACTGAATGAAATCCTTAAAAGCGATCGGCAGTCAATGGTCGATTCGTTTCGTCTAGAGTTGGAGGCAAAGAACACAACATTAATTGAATCAATCAGAACAGAAGAACACATCTTAATACAAGAATCAACAAAATCTATGGTTAATAAAGAGGAAATAGTTCGTCTGTTCGAAGAACAAAAACGTTCACTTGAAAGTATATATGATAAGCAAGTAACAACTATTGATTCTTCTGTTGATCGTTTTATACAAAATATGACACAGGTAACAAACACTCAACATGAATCGTCGACGTCAATCAATCAATTTCAACTTACATTGATTCAAACAATCCAGAACAAAGTACAACAGACTATATCGGAATCTATTGAAAAATTTGAGTCGATGACTCGTGAAATAACTCAATTAAAACATAGTCTTGAAAAAACGATTGAGAAACGTTCTACTATCACACAGAGAGATGATACTGAATTATTAGATCGTTTATTCGTTGAACAGAAAAAGTTTCTTATGAATACCATTGAACAACTAGAGAAGCTTTGGAGTGAACGCTTAAAACTTATCTTGCATGAGGCACTTATTGAACAAAAGTCATCATCATTCGCCCCTCGCACTGACAACGCCTCTCTCAACACTAACATGTCCAAAACACAGCAGGTCCCAACCACTGATCATTCGTTCAACATCAATCAAACTTCATCATATTCACCAGACCAACATTTGTTCAAAGTTTCGATTAAATCACCGGAGCCTGTTTGTTTATATGCTAAATTATTCATTGGCGGTAATGAATATCCAAGGAAATCTCATACACTCTGTCAGCAAGATCCGCTTCACTCAGATGAAGTCACTTGCTATGTAGCTCCACCTACTGTAGATGGACCCTATAATGTCATTATCTATGCCAAGACCAAAATGGAAACGAAATATCGAGCTGCTATTTCCATACGAATACCTGGAGCAAATATAACTCAATCTGTTTTGTTTCCATATACATTTCCATCATTCGAAATGCATCGGTGCACTTTGATTCAACCTCTACAAAGCTTTCTGCGACATAATGAGCACGTATTGATACAAATGGTTATACCTTATGCACATTCGGTCAAAATACATAATGGCAATGACGTTGTTGTCCTTGATGATGATGACTACATCGATGGAAAATTGAAAAAACAAATACAAGTTCATGGTGATGTATATGTTTACGGTCAATGGGACAATGAAGCTGATTCACCTATTTGTTTCTTTTATGTCATCTAATTTAAAATTAATCTATATGCACTTAAACATTTCAACTAATAGAATTTTGAGTTTTCTTTTGTCAAAACCTTTTCTGCACATCATCGATTGAATTGAATAAATACAAGATAACATACATGTACTTTACGAGAAGAACCACAGCTCAATGATATTTAGTACATGATTTTTTTTTGAAAGTCTTTCGTATAATTTCAGATTTTTGAGTTGTCAAAGTCATTTTTCGCACAATGATAAGGAAGTCACAGATGAGAATATTTTTGTTACGAAGTTATCTCTGTGAATAATAACACGAATACCACTGTAGTAGTAGATAGATATTGAAAAAATAATTGTTTAAGATCATTCAGTTTCTCATATTTGTATCAAGACAATAAATCTCTAATGTGTCGCTTATTGTTAGGATTGCAGCTGCCATGAATGATTGCTTAAGAAGCACTTCACGATGATTCATATTATGCATACATAATAGGAAGGTCCCAACCATCTAGAAATGCAGTTCGAGTACTTTCAGTTTATTTTCTATGCGAAATAAATGTCTTCTTCTTGCGAAGACCTCATTGGTAGATCGAATAACATGCCTCCTTAGGACTAATACTATTTTTTTTAAAGTACACGTCTTAATTTCACAAATCTGAAGAGTCAGAAAAACATGCTAATAGTTTTCTTTTTTCATCGCTAGATAATGTTCACGTCAAACTAGGTTCTCTATAACAATCAACAAATTTAAACCATCATCTCGAATTACGAGAAGTTTTCTTATATAGATGTTTGTTATTTTCAATTATGTGTTGACCAAGGCTCTTCCTTTCTTTGAATTAGCTCATTTTCGTCGATTTCAATATCGTCGAATAAATTTATAACTGA